TTGTAACACTCCAAAGAGAAAGGAAAACTTGAAATCACATCATATGACCCCTTTAAAGTATAATTTCAGTTATTTAAATCATTTAATATTTCTATATTCAAAATGTTATATTTAAAGCATTAATCTCAACATGAATTTATGAATTTAATTGCACTCATGCCACCTCTGAGCATCATTAAACATCTGAAAATACACCTACAAGCCACTTTTGTCTTCTTCTGTGCCACCACTGTAGTACGAATTAATTTTGTTAATACTAATTTCATTTGATTGGTAACATTCTACTTGTTCTTATTCTATTGTTTTAATTAGAAATGTAAAAATAAAAAGCTTATAAATATACATTTTTGAATTTGACACAAAAGATGACATACTTTTAATAAAGTTAGAAAAATGCCATTACAAGTGCTCCTAAAAAGAAAAGTAAGCGTAGAGCCCTGTAATACTGTTAAATATTTAAAGTAATGGTTTTCTATTTTAATATACTTTCAAATCTAATTTATTCCTGTGATGCAAATCTGAATTTTCATCATAATTACTCCAGTCTTCAGTGTCACATGATCCTTCAGAAATCATTCTAATATGCTGATTTATTATTAATGCAAAGGTTTGCGGTAAGGATTTTTTTTCTTTAAAAAAAAAAAAAAAAATGAATACTTTTATTAAGCAAGGATGTGTTAAATTGATAAAAAAGTGATGGTAACGACATATTGTTTGAAAAGATTTCTGTTTTCAGTAAATGCTGTACTTTTTATTAATCAAAGAATCCTGAATTATTGACAAAAAAAAATATTAAGCAGCACAATGTTTTCCAACATTGATAATAAATCAGCATATTAGAATGATTTCTGCTTGGATAAAAGCGTCTGCAAAATGACTAAATGTAAATGTAAAAAGAAGTAATATTTGAAAGTATATTAAAATAGAAACCCATTATTTTATATTGTAATAATATTACGTTTTTTTTGTTTTGTTTCGAGGGGCATTAAGAGACTTCTTTAAAAAAAATCATCAAAAATCTTACTGATCCCAAACTTTATATGTTACCCAAATGTGTCACAATTACAGTGAATGTCTTATTATATTTCAAATAAAAATACTGAAATCATTTCCCAACAGTGCTGTTTCCTCGACACACCAACGCCAACACCAGAGACAACACCATCAACCTCATCCACACCTTCCGGGACTATCTGCACTACCACATAAAGTGCTCCAAGGTGAGAAACGCCTCTTTGCCCAACGCCACTCTTCAAACAAGACCCTTGAGTTTGTAAGAAGCTCAGTAATGTGCTTCTCAGTTTGCATACTTGTCATTCAACCATTCGGCCCTTTGTTTGGCCAGATGAAACCAATTTGTCAGCGTGAAGAAAACTGCTCTATTCTTGGGAATGTAGGTGTTTTCCACTCTCACAGATGTGTTTTCTCTGGTTTTAGGCTTACATCCACACTCGCATGAGGGCCAAGACCTCGGACTTCCTGAAGGTACTCAACCGAGCTCGCCCGGACGCTGAGAAGAAAGAGATGAAAACTATTTCGTAAGTGCTGTTTCACAATCAGTAGTGTTTCACACGTTATATGAAACCGCACAGAGTTATCCAAGTCTTAAAATCTTTTTCTCATGGGCTTTTTTCCAGTAGAGGTGGTTGATTTGTGCTGATGTTGGTGCATATCTCTGGGTTTTATTTAAAACCAGTGGCATGTGCTTGCAAAAGATTACTTTGTGATAGTGTGTGTTTGAATCTTCATTAATTACGTTGAGGCGTTGCACCATCCACTGATTATATCAGAGCAGATTACCATGTACTTTTCAAATATACATTAGCTGGTTGCTGTTTGTGCTCGTTTAAACTGAAACGTGGCCAAATGCTGCAGATACGTCTTCTCTGGAATCAAAGGCCATTTTTTCTGCTAGATTAGAAATTGATTTTTATCAATAACTTAGAAACCTTTCGAAATATACCTAACGTGAGCTCTGATGAATTACTTTTCGTAAATGTCAGTGTGCGTTTAACTGCACACGTAAACAGTAACGTAAACAGTAACGTAAACAGTAACGTAAACAGTTTTAACGACTTCCTGTCAACATTGCATATAATCCTGAAGAAAGATCCACCAATTGGAGAAGCTGCTGTTGCCATTGAAAAAGCTCAGCAGCAGCCACCCACTCCCATAATGCATTGCGAATCAAAAGTCTATCTTAAATGATAGATTTTAATATTTTGCAATAAACCTCTAAACTATTGTGCTATACTTACAGTATATTATAGTTCATAAATAATTTAAGTGCACAGTTATGTAGTTTTGCCTTTTCTGTTTCAATTGTCATACAGTTTTTAATCAAATTCAAATATTGTGATTCATCTCAGAGCTGGTTGAACTGTTTTTTTTTTCTGTTTTTTTAAATAAGATTTTTTTTTTTAAATGTCTTTGGAATTTTTATTGTATTTATTTTTCCATAACCAAGCTGCTGTTCCTCTACAGTTCACTAAGTATAAAAAACACTTCTTGGTTGTAATTTAGTGCTTACAAATTCAGAAACGAGACGTTTTCCTCAAACAGATTGTTAATATTTACACAGTAAAAATGACCTCCGTAGTCAAAGAATTCACAATGACTGGATTGTGAAGTGCTTCTCTGTGTCATCAGACTTTAAAGATTGCTGGATAACACTTTTCAGTAGGTTTTAATTAATAGTTAACGCATTAAGTTATTTCGAAATAACAATGAGCGACCGTTTTTACTTTATATTTTAACATTTATTAATATAGGTTAATATTTATTTCCAAATAATGTTCATTGTTAATTCATGTTTGTTCATGATACATTAGCTAATGGGAATTTATACAGCTTCAGATGTTACAAATATATAATAGAAATGGTAACACTTTAAAAAAAGGTTCCATTAGGTGACATTAGTTAACTAACAATGAACAATGCATTTGTTACAGTATTTAATCATCTTTGTTAGTGTTATTAATAAAAATACAACTATTCATTGCTAGTTTAATGTCAGCAAAGGTCCGTTAAATAATATGAACATATACAACTTTTGACTGTACTAATAAAAATGTATTAGTAAATGTTGAAATTAACATTAAGGTTAATAAATGCTTTAGAAAGTATTTTGTCGTGTTAACAAATGGAACCTTATTGTAAGGTGTTATTGTAGAAATGAACATTCATAGTTTATGATACCTAATGAATTAACTAATATTAACGAATTGAATCTTTTTGTAAAATGTGTTACTGATTTCTGACTTCTGATTTAAGTGTTACAGATTCATGCTTCACTATAAATACTTAAGAATCAATGATTGTAATTCAGAGACAGTGATATATTTTTCGAATCTTATTTTTATTGTTATATTGTTTTGGTTATATATATATGTGTGCACTTTGACATTTTCTTGGTATCATGTGTCTGTAGTACACTCTTGCAATATTGAGTATATAGCTATATTTATTCCACTGTTTTGACCTGTGAATATGAATGTAACCCTCACATGATCTGTCCAGGGGCAAGACCTTCTCCCGTTAAGGACATGATGTGCAATCACGAGACCAGCATCTGTGGACTCCATCGTACACCTCTGGCCAGTGATGTCGATCCTCCACCTGTAAATTGCACCTCAACAGGGAGACGAATATATTTCTCGCTTTGCATTTATAGGATAAATGTTATTTGTATGTCGGATAAACGTTTATTTGATGCGCTCTTATGTTTCATTGCGTAGCTCTGTTGTCTGACAGTGTTTTATTGACCTTAGTCATGCAGTATTTTCCCTTTCCTCTTGCCTTCTTTGTTTGCGCCAAATGCATCAATATTGGACATCCCGAATCGGTCATGAATAAACCCGTCTTCTATATAAGAGATTCTTTGTCTGTTATTTGGGGTAAAATGACTGTATGCATGCAAAAGTTTAGGGTCGGTAAGATTATTTTAATGTTTTTGAAAGAAGTCTCTTATGCTCACCAAGGCTGCATTTATTTAAACAAAAATATAGTGAAATATCATTACAATTCAAAATAACTCTTTAATATATTTTATTATGTAATTTATTCCTTTGATGCAAAGCTGAATTTTCAGCATCACTGATACAGTCTTCTGTGTCACATGATCCTAAATCATTCTAATATGCTCAAGAAACATCTCTTATTATTATCGGTTGACCCAAACGGATTGAAAACGGTTGTGCTATTTCATATTTTTGTGGAAATCGTGATCCTTTTTTTTTTTTGTTCAGGGGCCAGTTGCATATAAGGTTTAGACTAGTCTTACAAGTTAGTCATCATTTTTTTTTCTTTAAAACTGGTCATTTTTTAAAATTCAGTTACATAAAAGCATACATTAGTCTAACTTGAATCCCAAAATAAGACTGATTACCCCTTGGCTAACAGCTAGTTGGTCAAACTCATACTTAAGACATTGTCTTAACATAGAGGCTAAGTTTATGCAACTGCCCCCTGCATTCTTTGATGAATAGAAATCTTTTGCAATATTATAAATGTCTTGCTGTCACTTTTGGTGCTGAATGTATCATTTTCTTTCAAAAACAAAAGTTCTTACAAAACTCCAAACTTCCGATTGGTAATTTACATTCTAAAATAACAACACTAGCCAAGGAAATGAAGCTCATACATGTTTTATTGTGGTACAGGAGATTGATAAAATAGTCATGGTCATCACAAAGAAAAATTTAGCAAAATTGAGCAATAAGAAGGACAGAAAGACAGAGATGAAGAACCACTAATGCTGTAAGATTAGGATGAGACGTAGCGGTACAAAGTCACTCGTTCTCCTTAATCATATCTTGAGAAGCTTCCCTCATCCTCATCACATTCAACAGGTTACTTCTCTTTCCTCCACTAACTCATCTACCTCTACATCGGTTGTTCTACATCTGTTGGCGCCCCCAGAAAGTTTTAATAGGGGAGCCAGAGGAGGCCACAGCAAATCTTGGAGTGGCACATCAAAGAAAAAAAAAAAGGAATTTAGTGTAATGTGTGTTATACTTATTTACCTTTGTTTCTGGTTAATGTAACAATATCATTTTAATTAGCAATTAATTACTCTTTAAATAGTGTAGTTATTTTCCTTAAAATAATTAAATCAAACAAAAGGACGATATTTAGTTTAACCTCTGCCGGCAGCCTCAGATTATTATTGTTTCACAGCACGCTTAAACATCACAATCTTACTTGATCTGGACAAACCGTGTATCATTAGAAAGATTAAAGACTCCAGCTTCGATATTTGACCACTGTATGATAAAAATCGGTTGCAGTGAAAGTAATTTCTTAATTTATGCCAGAATTGCTAAATAATAATTCGGTAATGTATGGTATTTTGAATAGAATAAAAAAAAGCATTCATATTCAGTCTAGTCTGCTGCGGTTTATTTGTGTTCACAGATTTACTGAACAGCATCATTAAGGGCTTATAGTCCAAAAGTGCGCATACTTGGGAGCAAAATTGATATATTTACACGTTTACTTCATATTCCTTCAGACAGCATCATAATTTCTATTCATTTTCCACTGATTTACACAATCTGATGAGCATTAGCTACTCCCAGCGCTGTCTCAGTATGTTTTCTCTTCGGCAATAGCTGTTCTGACTCCGATGAAGCTCATTCGCTGTCACTCATAATATGCGTTCATAACCCGATGACGTGCTTCCCTTACACTTCCGCGTTGTGTTCTGTCCACAGCAAACCCAGAGAAACGTTTCTACACAAGAACATGAAGCTAATAAACACACGATTACCATAGTATATAACTGGTATGTGATTTTCATGAGCTTTGGGTTATTTTCATAACAATAAAGAATGTTTAGAAGGGCAGTGAAACAGCTACTCTGGTGGCGCCAATCTACAATCTTTTTTCGTGGCTGCAGCGGGTGCTGCATTTTATTTTCGTTCACTTCGTGAACTATTATGAATTTACATTATGCATTTAAATTAATAGTACCCACTGCAAAATTATTCTAGGGGTGGCCACAGGGGGGGGCAGAGTTTATGGCCACCCCTTGGGGGCGCCCCTGCCTTCGCTAACTCCAGTTCTTCCAACTCCTCTTTCTCATCTAGCAACTTTTCCATCGCTAACCCCAGTTGTTCTGCCAACTCCTCTTGCTCAGCTTTCGCCTTTTCCATCGCTAACCCCAGTTGTTCTGCCAACTCCTCTTGCTCATCTTTCGCCTTTTCCATCGCCAACTCCAGTTGTTCTCCAAACTCCTCTTGCTCTTCTTTCTCCTTTTCCATCGCTAACTCCATCGCTAACCCCAGTTGTTCTGCCAAATCCTCTTGCTCTTCTTTAACCTTTTCCATCGCTAACCCCATTTGTTCTGCCAACTCCTCTTGCTCATCTTTCGCCTTTTCCATCTCTAACTCCAGTTGTTCTCCCCACTCCTGTAGCTCAGCTTTCTCCTTTTCCATCGCTAACCCCAGTTGTTCTGCCAACTCCTCTTGCTCTTCTTTCGCCTGTTCCATCGCTAAATCCATTTGTTCTGTCAACTCCTCTTCCTCTCCAAAAACGTGGTTGTTGTGATTAGTAGGATTTTGCTCAAGTTTGCTCTGAGAGACCACTTCTCCGTCCACTATTTCTTGCGTGATGATGATGGCTTTCTTAAGTCCGACGGAAGGCAGAGGAGCTGGAGACAGAAAGCTGGAGGTTAGAGTCAGTCTTTAGTAATTCATTAAGACATTTACAGACGTCCCACCTCTCCAGGAATGTCCGCGAGTCTCCAGCATAATGATAGCGGCTCCCAGCTGCCCGCAAATTCTAAACAATATCGAGTGTGTGAGAGAGAATCCCTATTTCCATCCGATAACAACTGTTCAGCCAAGACACATTTTAACCTAGTATTACCTACATATTTTTATCGTTTTTACCTCTTATTATAATGCGTTTTCCTGATATTATCAATGCGTCGCCGGACTTCTTGCGTTCAGATATCCAATTATTTCGTGAGACTACACTGGATCACTTTCACTTTCGTTTCACGAATACTAATGAATGAACAAACGGGTGTTTGTTCTCCGGGGCTATTTCCTGGAAATGGGTTTTGGCAGGGTGGGATGTCTGCACTTATGTAGCATACAAAAACAAGTTAGACTTTTTTTTTTAAACATTAGAAGCTCTTACAAGCAAACAAATAATCAAAGTTCAACACTGCTGTGTATATTAGTTGAGAAAGCAACATTTTAATAGGCTAGTAAACATTACTTGGGTCATTCTATGAATCAGATGCCTGTTGCATTTTGAGAAGGTAATTTTGCATGTGAGTTTTTGTAAAATATTTTTTAAATGATGTGTTTCAATACGTTGCATCGCTCCATCTCAAGCAAAATTAACAAATTATAATATATTCATAGATATATTTAGAATATGACAAGATATAATTGTCTTTAGAACAGTAACGGTGAAGTTTTACAGTTTAATTTGACAATACAAGGTCATGAAGGTCCTTCTTTGAGAATTTAATGGTGATATTTCTACAAATATCCACTTTTTCACTTATTAATTTTATTATATATACATGCTAATAGAGCCAAAGGTGGCTAAAAAGGGCACACAAATAGCACCTGTTTTGTAGAATGACCCTTTTGTTTCTTCAACAGGTTGTAAAGACGATTGTCTTCAAACATATTTGCATGAGGTTAGCAGTGAGAAACATAAACAGCGTGAGTGATGTGAGTGTATTTGGCCAGCGAGGGCTCGGGCAGCACAGTTTACTCGTCTTTGTTAGAGCAGTGAGTGATGATTAGTATGAAGACAAGCTTGATGCGGGTTAGGCAAGCATGTTTGTTAACTCATACTGACGATGCCTAAAATCTACACATCACGGCACTCACCTGCATACAATGACTGCTCTAAAGAAAATTCCTCTCTGTGGAGGGAAGAGAAAACATGAGAGAATGGCACAAAGGGAGGTATTTGATGGGAAAAGATGCAACTAAATGTTCAAGACTGGGGTGGATCGACATTAAGAAGGGTTCACTGAAAAACCCACACTGAGTGATCGCTTTTCTGCATATACACTCTTAAAAATAAAGGTGCTTCACGATGCCATAGAAGAACCTTTTTGTCTAAATGGTTCCATAAAGAACCTTTTAACATCTGAAGAACCTTTCTGTTTCCCAAAAGGTTCTTTGTGGCGAAATAAGGTTCTTCAGATAACAAAAACGCAAGAAAGAGATGGTTCTTTAAAGAACCTTTGACGGAATGGTTCTTTGTGGAACAAAAAATGGTTCTTCTATGGCATCGCTTGAAGAACCTTTTGAAGCACCTTTATTTTTAAGAGTGTATAAGGGGGGAAAGTTTTTAAGTGGTGTCTATTTTAAAGGACAGATGCTTGCTGGGACATGTTTCTCACAAGCCTGTAGGGAAAGAGTTTGTGCCGTGTGTTTGTTACTACAGAGTGACTTCACCATGGAAAGATAAGCTTTGTGCACGCTAGATTTGCATGGGCAGCTCACAGAGGAAAATGCTGTATGGAAACAGCAATGTTGTGTGATGTGCACGTTGCAATCAGTGACCAAGGAGATTTCAAGATGAAAGGGATAGTCCACCAAAAAAGACAATTCTAAACCTGTATGACTTTCTTTGTTCTGTGGAACATAAATGAAGATATTATATGAACAAAAATATAATGGGAGTCAATGGGAACTGAAAATGTTTGATTGCCAACATTCTTCAAAATATTTTTTTTTTTTCCGGAGAAGAAATAAATGCATACAGGTTTGGAACAACATAATAGTGCAACAAACATGCTTTTTGTATTTGTTCTGAACTGGACCAAAACATTTGAACAAACAGCAGTATTTAACTGCATATACTAAAACATTTTCAGAGAAAGTTAAGATTTCCA